GTACAGTTGCTACTAAAGTTGTAATTAATACTAAATATAAATGTAAAGCAAATTTGGTCAATTGATCAACAAATGAATTAATTAATAAAATAAATAAAATAAATAAAATAAATAAAATAAATAAAATAAATAAAATAAATAAAATAAATAAAATAATTTTTTATAATGCAGGCAAACAAAAAAGTATGGATATCTCTTTTCACACGATAACCTTGAGCTCCCTGCCTCCCTCTCGTATTTATTTATTTATTTATTTAATTTATTTATTTATTTATTTATTTATTTTATTTTATTTTATTTTATTTTATTTTTTTGCTGCTGTGTCTGCTGTGATCAGCGCGGCTGCTGCAGCTGCAGGATAAGCCATTTGAGCTCGATTATACAGAATTCAAGAGACTGGGTATAATAACTTTATTTTTTTTTTTTTAGTTTTATGTTATTTGTTTTATTTTATTTTATTTTATTTTATTTTATTTTATTTTATTTTATTTTATTTTATTTTATTTTATTTTTTTGTCTGTTTTGTTGTTTGTTTCTTTGTTTTTTTGTTTATTTCCTTGCGTGGTTGTTTAGTTATTTATTTGTTTATTTGTTTATTTGTTTATTTGTTCATATCTGTATTTGTTTTACTTTCTATCATTTTATATTATTTATTTATTTATTTATTTATTTATTTATATTTTTTTCTTTTCTTATTTAAACACTAATTGATGAATTTATTTATTTTTTTACCAGTGCGTCCAAACCTCCCACTGCATTGCATCATGAGGGTTTAGGGTTTAGGGTTTAGGGTTTAGGGTTTTTTATGTGTTATGTGTATAGGTTGTATATCTTATGCTGAATTTGACTTGAACGGTATAAAGGGTATAGTGGGTGTATTTCCATCTTCTTTTTTGGCCCGCATAACTGTATCTGTCCCTCATCTGTCTCCTTTTTATCCTCCCCAGCTACAAACCCCCTCTATCACCCCTCTTTCTCTCTCTATACACGAGCGCAGCAACCCAGCAATACCCCCCAATGGTGTTTTTAATAACACAGGCAGCTGCAACAAACAACACACAGGGGGGAGATACGACCCAGGCCTTGCATGCGGCCCCGATGGAGCTGAACTCTGCCAGCAGCTCAATATACCTCCCTTTGAGTACGAACGAGGGTTTAGGGTTTAGGGTTTAGGGTTTAGGGGGTTGGTGGGTAGCGGGGTGGGGTTAGGGGCGTGCGGTTTAGGGTTTAGGGTTTAGGGTTTAGGGTTTAGGGTTTGTATTGTGTATGCAGCGAGTCATCTGGTATCCGAAAGGAGGGTTCAGTATACACGTGTCACCCTTCTTTATATTCTTTACGGCCTTTTGCATGCAACGCGGGAGATATAACGGGGAAATATGGATTGGGGCTGGATTTGTCTCCGTCTCCTTTATTAGTTGATCTTAGAATTGTTGCTTCAGATAATAATAATGATAATGCATGCAACCTGGGGGATGCACTGTTACCACTGGTCATCAGCTGTCACACCACTGGTCAGGCATATAACATACATACACCTCAATGTGTTCATGCGGTGGGGTTGATGGTGGTGGTGCTGGTGGTGGTTGTAGGGTGGGGGTGCTGCTGATGGTGTTTATTGGGTGGGGTTGCTGGTGATGGTGGTTATAAGGGTGGGGTTGTCGGTGGGGCTTTTGGTCTTGTTCTTGGCTCCATCGTATACATACATACATACGTACACAC